ACACAGCTCATTACAGAACATTTGCCAAAATTCACGGCACACCTAATAAGCAAAGACAGGAAAACAGTCAAAGCCGTAGTAGGTCTAACAGAGTGCTGTAAGCTGAATAGGCACATGAAGCTGATGGGATTATCAGATGATGACCTGTGCAGATTCTGTCACCTCAAAGAAGAAACAGCAGAGCACATTCTATGCCAGTGTGACAATCTTGAAAATGTGCGATTCTTTGCATTAGGAGAAGAAAATCCACCGCAAATAGCTACATGGAAGGTACAGTCTCGAAGCTATTGGACTTTATAAAAAGGGTAAGGCTAGAAAATATTATCGAAGACCAGGGGAACAAAATAGATTTGAAAAGGTCGCTGTGGCCACCTCTATATATCTATATATAAATATATCTATCTATCTAACTTTAATAACATAGTTCATGAAGTTTTTTTAAATCAATTGTCAAATTTATTGTCTTATCTGTCAATAATGTCTTCATCTAAATTAGTGTTTTATTGAAAAATAATATCTTTACATATGAGCGGATTAGCAACTTCTTTTAATATTGATAGCACATTTTTCTTTTTAAAATTGCTAAGCATTTTATTTTCCTTAAATTTAATTACTTCTTTACAAAAAAATATTTTAGAAATAATTTATGAAATATTGCAATCGAATACTTAATTCAAGACGAATCCTGTATATATTTGTATTAGTTGGTGTTTCTGACTTTACCAAATACAGTTTTTAATAGCAACAATTAAGACGGTCATTTATGGGCTTTAAACAGTTTATCTGGATGTATTATTGCGTCACCTTCATTAAATTCGTTACGGAACACCGAACTACACAAAAACAATCAAGCTGCCAATCGAAGGAAACAAAAGCATCGAATTAAAGAATTATGGCCATCCCATCGAGTTAAAAAATTGTCCCATTAGATTTAAGATGAGACTCAATAGCGGAGTACGAACATAAATAGGGTCCACCGGTTCTTTTATAATATGTGCATTAAAATGTATAAATAATATAAATTTTACAAACATTGCAAAACTCAAACATATCTATGACAACTCTTGCATGTAATTTGAATAATATTCTTATTTCAAATGGCATAATATAATTTTATTCTATACCATATTATTCTGAAAGACGTTCAGCCTGTTTTTTTGCACGTACTGTCTAACTTACTAAATAGAAATGTCAAACTGAATGTGAGTCAGAATTGTTAACATTCAATGCCTACTTTCATGGAAACTATAGTCTTAACAAATTCCTGTCTAGTCTATATTTAACCTTTAACCTATCACAACGAGGAAATAAAAGTCACAACTAGATATTTTCAATACATAATAATATATTGTACAAAATAAATGTAGGCACATACTTAAAAAAATGTTTTAACATAAAAAATAGTGCTTAACAGAAATATAAAGATTAGCAACAATTGTAAAAACAAAAACTCAAGAACTTCTTTTTCTCTAAAAATAACCTTGGGATTCTTGTATATTAGCTTCAAACCATTAAATGACTTAAATATAAAAGTAAAAAATTACAAAAATTTATTAATTTAATAATTAATTAATTTATTTAAAAAAAAATTACTAAAATATTAATAAACTTATATAAATTCAATCTACAGCTTTGAGATTGGCATTTGGTGCATTTAGAACTAGTCCAACTAGTACTCTACAAGTTCTAGTTAAAGAGCCACCTCTAAATATAAGGCGACAAAAATTATCACTAAACTACATTTCCAAAATTTCAATTCAAAAACATCCTCTGTTCTCTCAAATTTTCCACCCTGGCATCCTCTCTTTTAAAAAGACAACAAACTGCATACTTCTAATAGAAACAATAAAAGTCACAAATTTTAACATGTATCAACTTAGTCTATTGCTATATACAAATGCAATGTCTCATCCATGGACAACTTGCCTACTGACCATTGACCTAACACTAAGAAAGTATCCCAAATCAAATACAAACGTCTCGATAAAAAAACATCTTTTTGCAGAAATCATATACCATTACCTCAACTACTTACAAATCTTTACCAACGCCTCTAAAACTCCATATGGACATGCTGCTGCTTACTTATCTGATGAAGAAAATTCCTACAGCATACACTTACCTACAAATTATAGTATACTCACCGCTTTTTTTGCTGGTGGTTTTTCATAGTGATCGTCGTGTACGTTTTTGTATTTCTTCAAGAATATTTTTAAATCTAGAGGTAAACTTGGTATTCCAGTCCTCTCAGAAAGATGAAGTCTTATCAATGCATGATAATTCGTTGAGAAAAACTCTTTTATATTTTTAATGATTGTGGATGTTAACAGCATTGTACAGGATCTGGCTGTTAAAATTCCTGTAATTTTCAGAAGTTAAAAAAACAATATCATTCCACTAGCCATCTTCGTTTTCTTCGGGACACCGAATATGTACTGCACGTTTTGTCTACAGTGTCTACGCCTCCTTTACTTGTATTGTTACGAACATGCATTCAGCGTGGATTACCTAACGGTTGCATCTCGAAGCACCGAGAGTTTCGGCGATATATCGAGCGCTGTAAAATTCCACCCGTCAAATAACGAATTAGAGGTGGGACTACTCTCGAATATTCTCGAACATAATACTTTGGTATATATATATGTAACGAAATTAGGAGTTAAGTTTAGTTGATAAGATAGTATCGAACTGTAAAGTTATAAATAAATATATGTATATAAATTTGAACCGCTCGTTTTATTTAATCTCGCTACAGTATTATAGTCTAACCTTATCATTGGTTTTCCTGTTTCAGTATCTACTGTACAATTAATGCGCAGAATTATTTCTTTTGGTGCTTAGGACACAAGAGTAACTTCTTTTTGACAACCGAAAGTGGACGATCCAATTGATGATTTTGCTTAGTAAAACTTTGGAGTTAGCTCCCTTTTATTTTGTTTTAGTGTGCAAAGCATTGTCAAAAGATCAATTGCCAAAGAATAACTCGTATACCAATTGGTGCATGTTAAGTTACTGTTTTTACCTTTCCAAGGTTGAAGCAGGCGATAGGCAATATACGTTGGTGCATCAGATTTTTGGTAGGGCTTTTCCGGTTGTTTTATTGTAATACACTTCAAAATTGGTGACACAAAAGGTCTTCGCGTCATACAATACATGTACTTTTAATGCATACTTTGCAGGCTTATTTGGAATGTATTGCATAAAGCTGCATCTTCCTCTAAAAAGTATCAGCATTTCATCTACAGTTATTTGTTCTCTTAAAGAATAGTTAATAATCGAGAATCTGTCAATAAGACAGATTCTCAAGAAAACATTAGAATTCAATATTGAAATCCATCACCTATTCGTCGACTTCAAGGCCGCATACGACAGTGTCAAGAGAACAGTGCTATACCAATCAATGCATGAGTTTGGTATACCAGAGAAACTTATCCGACTAACGAGAATGACAATGTCTAACTTAGAAGCCACTGTTAGAATACAGGGAGAGAGTTCTAGATCCTTTGAGATAAAGGATGGACTCAGACAAGGAGATGCTCTGGCTTGCCTCCTATTTAATATTGCCTTAGAAAAAGCAGTCCGAGATACACGAATTAGGGATGGCGATACTATTTACAATAGATCGATACAAGTCTTAGCATATGCTGATGACATTGACATAGTAGGGCGTAGCAAGCGAAATGTTGAGCAATATCTCCTAGAATTGGAAACAGCGGCGAAACAGGTTGGTCTAGTCATCAACGAAGACAAAACCAAGTACATGTTGGTTATAAAAGATCCGATAGCAAATGAGGAACGAGAAACAGTCTTTGGAAGTCATACCTTTGGATGTGTTGACAACTTCACATACCTTGGGTCGCTATTGACTGCTACCAATAAAACAAGCGAAGAAATCAAAAGACGAATAAATCTTACAAATAGGGCATACTATGGACTCCAAAAGCATTTCCACTCAAGAAACATTCAAAGAAAAACTAAAATTATTATATACAAAACATTGCTGAGGCCGGTCCTCACATATGGAGCAGAAACATGGACTCTAACGCAGAAAGATGAAAGACTTATCGGAATATTTGAGCGTAAAATACTCCGCAAAATATTCGTAGCTGTAAATGACCAAGGGCAGTGGCGCAGAAGATATAATTTTGAATTGTATCAGCTCTTTGATGAGCCAGATGGCATAACGTTCATTAAAACACAGCGACTTAGATGGGCTGGACACATAATACGAATGCCAGAAAATACCATTGCTAAAAAGCTAACCACAGGAACACCTGCAGGAAAAAGAAGCATAGGCCGACCGCGAATTAGGTGGTTAGATGGAGTAGAAACCGACTTACGAATATTAAAAATCAGAAGATGGCAACATGTTGCCAAAAACCGAACAGAATGGCGACGAATCTTAGAGCAGGCCAAGATCCACAGAGGAATGTCGAGCCAAAGATGATGATGATAAAGAATAGTTGCTGCTACACTTTTTCATAAAAGTATCAAAAGTGGCAGCAAGTTTGTCAATTGATTTTTGGTCCCTTCGAGTATCGTTGTTATCAAACCGAAAAGCAGCAAGCAAAAATAAAAACCGATCGTTGCGTCGCTCATACAGGGTAAAAAGATTTCTCAAAAGAGCCAGTACCATTTTTTGTCCACAATTCGAGGGAGTGTGTATGATTTTGTTTTTTAGCCTCTGCAAGAAATAATAAGCCTAATAATGCCATGATTTCCTATCTAGTGGTATCTTTGGCCATTCGTAATTTAATCCCATCTTTGTAATCTACAACGTCGAAGACAAAGTTAATTTTTAATTGTATTTTATTCCCAAAAACAGGGTTGATAAAAACACATTTAAAATGCTTGATATAAGAAGCTCATAAATCCCAATATATTCTTTATTTGAAGACCCTTTTGAAATTTCGGGAAGTCCTACCTTTGGCCGATAGATCTATAACGATCTTCAATTATTTCTAATAGAAATAGTAAATTAATGTATCATTAGTTGAAGGCGTAGGTACAATGGTAGGTTGGTATATAAAAGATCTGAAGAAAAAATGGTGGAGCATATTATGTGGTGCGAATTTGACATGATGGGTGAAAACGACGATGACAACAGTGAATTGAGTGAACACAGATTTTTAACCAAAGGTAACCTTTTATTGTTAATTTTTGCTCGATTTTATCCATTTTTACATTAGTAAGCTCATTAAATTTGTTTTAACGTGTTAGTTTGTTTAAAAGTTGGATCAATATTATTGTTCTATAAGCACATGGAAATAATATAATTGTATATGCACAAATTCTGAAATGAATTGTTTATTATATCGTTTCCATTTCCATATACCAAGCGGTTTTCAATAGCATGTGTTTACTAAATACCTTCTTAAGAATTAATCATCAACTGCAAGTTATTTAGTTATCTTTCGGTGCCCTCTAACTTCTGTCATCTTCTCTCAATGTAATAAATCAACTTTCTTTTTTCCACACATTATATAACCATTCGTTTCTATATCGTTTATTATCATCATCATCATCATCCAGCCTTCATTTATCACGTCCACTGTTGGACATAGGCCTTCCTTAAATTCGTCCATTATTTCCATATCGTTGTTTGCTTTTCGCTACGTTTACGTTATACGCTACGTTTATATTAAAAATGGTCAGAATAAATCCAAAATTTAAAATGATTACTTCTCTATAGTTGAAACAACAGATAAAAAATCTTAAATATGAAAATTTTTTCCGAAAAATCTCGCATTTAGCTATATATATATATATATATATATATATATATATATATATATATATATATATATATATATATATATATCTATATATATATATATATATATCTATATATATATATATATATATATATATATATATATGCTATATATATATATATATATAAATATATATATATATATATATATATATATATATATATATATATATATATATATATATATATATTGTTATGATATGTAAAATCAAGAAAAATATTGGTTTGCTTAAAATAATTCAAAGTTCCAAAAAATTAAAATAATTCAGATAAGTAGGATAATGAACAACAAACATTTCGAAGAATGAAAGTCTTTTAATTTTGGATTACCTGTATTGAACAAAACGTAAGATATGCATAAATTATTTTCTTTGTTAAAATATATTTGAGTGACCTCCATAAGCTTAAGTGAAACACTAGACAATGGAAGCGGTTTTTCCAAATAAATGTTGTGCAGTAATTAGGACAATAGAATAGAATTTAGAAAGATATGTTTTTGTTAGTTCTTAGGAATCGGTAGGAAAAGATTATTTTATAAAATAGTTTTAGGAAATTTTATAATTGTAGGTAAAAATTTGTGTGTTATCGAAATGAAGAAATGGGAGATGTATGAAGCGTTTTGATTGGATGAGATTGAAAAAAGGTGGGATGATTGGTTTAAGAATAAGACTTTAGTTAGTTTACAAAAAAAAAAGATAGTCAGTTGGTTTCCAAGGGTGGAAGGCGAACGGCCGTTGTTCTCGTGTAGTTTCCCAGGGGTAGGAAGCAGTAGCAGTGAAAGTTTGTGAGTTTTGTGTAGTTAGTGTATCTGACAGAAGCTGATCCAGTAAAAGATTATAAGTTATATTTTCTACTTATATTCCAAGAGTCACTGTTCAGGCCAACGAGAGATTCAGTTTATCGTAAAGAAAAGATATTCCAAGAGTCATTTTTCACTCAGGCCAACGAGAGATTCAGTTTATTGAGAGAAGAAGAAGCTAGCATAATTTGAACGATTCGTGCATTTGAAGGAGATCATTAAGGACGATAAACTTGCAATAATTTGTTGTAAGATTGCTGATTACCTAGGGAGCTGCTAGGAATAGATAGTGTAGGCTACAAGGAGCAAGGATTTGGAGCAGTCATCATCATAAAGAGATAGTTTTGGTTTTCTGCGGTTTTTTTCTTTCATTGATAACACAATTTTTACAATTACTTTGGAAAAGATATAAATATTTTGATTAGGACATTGGGATTTTGAGAGTTTAACTAATATTGTTTGTACCATTAATTTTGAAGGTTCACGTACGTAGAACAAAATTTTGAGAATCATTATATGAGATATTGTTTGTTGAAAACATTTGAGTGTGAATTTTATTTCATTATTTTTATTTCAATATATAATGTTAGATCCTATATGTTTTTTATTATTCCGGTATTCTTTGGACCTTACCTTTCACATGTAATAGCATAGATATTGAAGCACGAATATAACCCTGAGATAAGAGAATTAAAAAGTGTGATAGAATCATAGTTATATCATTTAAATAATTTTAATTAATTAATTAATTAATTAGCTAATTAATTGCTTGGTGCACCAAGACTTTAAATATCAGAATAATATATACTCTATCCTCTTGAGAATGATCTAGGTGTACGAATTCTCTAAATATTTGTTCTCTAAATCATAGGCACAGCAGAATTCACAAATACCAAAATGGAGAATTGTATTAAACGTTAAATTAAATCAATTTCGCAAAAACTGTTTAACTGATCTGGACCATCTTTTGCACACAATTCAAACATAGTAAGACCCTTAAGTTCAGGTACATTTATACAAATTTTAATAAAATAAAAAAGTTAACATTTTATAACAGCGTATAGTATAACAGCGATTTTGTTGTTCATTTTGCAATTACTTTTTTGGTTATGAACCAATTTCAATTTAGCATAAACTATTTTGTGTATCTAAGTACATAAAAATACTAAGGCGAATCTATGGAGCGGTAAATGAAAATGGTGTCTGGAGAAGACGATACAACTTCCAACTCTATAGAATATACCAGGAACAGATATCGTAAAACAAATTAAGATAGGACGTCTGAGGTGGGTAGGCCGTGTAATGCGGATGGAGCAAACCGACCCAGCTAGAAAAACGCTCCTTGAAAGACTTATTGGCCAAAGAAGAAGAGGAAGACCCAGAAGAAGATTCCTAGATAACATAGACCAAGATATGAGAAATATGGAAATACGTGCTTGGCGGAGGAAGGCGATGGATAGGGATGACTGGAAGAGAATTCTTGGGGAGGCTAAGACCCACACAGGGTTGTAAAGCCAAAATGATGATGATGATTTTGTGTATCTTTTTTTTTTTAAACACAGACCAAGTGATGTTGGTATGTGTGGTTTTAACTAGTTTTACCCAAAATCGGTCTTGGCCTTGCGGTCTTGGTCTTGTTCTTGCATTTTCGTATTCATTAGTCTCTATTTATTCATCTTTCACTTTTTTTAATAGTGTTTACCTCCAGATCTTCTGCAGTGTTTTCAATGACCATGTATGGCGCTTTATAATATTGAATTTCCCAACTCCAGCTTCCAAATTCTTCTTCTCGATTTTTTATTATGTGGACAATGTCGTCTTTGTCTTCTGCTAAAATTATTTTATCATTGTTCAAAGGTATCATCAAGTTTAAATAAGGTAGGTGATAGGCGGCATCCTCGTCAAAGTTCTCTGTCGACTTTAAACGATTCTGAGTAGTTTTCTCCGACTTTTGCTCTACATTTATTATCTGTATGATTTTAAAGCATTTATGTAGGTGTTATTGACTCGGTGATTTTTCATTGCTTTCTACAGCTTATTGGCTAGAACAGTGTTGGCCTTTCGAAGATCCATCATTTTTTCAATGGATAACATAACAGTTATGTTCTTATGAGAATACATGACCCACCACTACTAATAATAAATTACGAAAATAATTTAATGTCGATTTAAATTTGAATTTCTCCAATTATTTAAAACAGCCTTTTAGAAAACATCTTCTGGATATTTTGTATTTAATTTACGCCAGAAACAAGCAAATCCTTTAAAGGAGGAACAAATTAGAAACCTCTTGCTTTAATATACACATTCATCACGGAAAATAAAAAGTTTTGACACCGTTTCCAGTTGCACACCCCATTAGGTCCAGGCCGCTCGAGTTTATGGCGGGAACACATTTTAGAAGAAACATTATCAAGGCGTAAACGATCTTCGACTCAATTAACCTTTAGGGAAATATCTTCTAGCATTTTATCGCCATGTCTTGCCATTTATGCTGATACTAATAACGCTGAACCAGGTGAACGAAATGAAAATGACAAGGAGGTTTATAATCCGCAGAAGCGTAGCGACATGTAACACAAAGATCGATGCGGAATACGCTTACTGCCTTATTAAATTATCTTTGAAAAATTATTCACTTCCATTTTATTGTGAATATTATAGTAAAAATTGCCTATTACATAATATAACGTAAGAGACCACTTTATTGTTAAATTAATTTAAGATTTCCATTTCGTGATATTGTTTCCTGGAATACTTAGTTCATTTATTAACCGTAATCTTTCAAATGTGTAATTTGTGATTAAGGTCCAAAGATAGCTTTCAATTACGTCTTGATTTTTTAACAGTTTAATTTGATATCCCTTTCTGATCTTCCAACAGTTATCTGGTAAATTTGGCTTGAAACAGACGTGGCGTAGTCGCCAGTTTCGAGAAAGGGCTCAGTATGTTTCCTTTCAGTTAGTTAACTCACCATAATCGTCCATAATCATCCAATACATAATCATCGACATTTGGACATAACAAAATCTTCAAATTTATGATAAATAAGTTTGCACACCTTGCTTTACAACCTAAACAAAAGCATTCTTGCTGCACCATAAAAAAATACTTCAAATTATATCTTCTTCATCTTCTTTTTCTTTTTATATAGACATGACTATGTCTGTTTTTCAATGTGCCTCCAGTAAGTTCTCGTGGTCTTCCTGCTGATCGTCTTCCTATTGGAGAACCGTCTCTTGCCGTCTTTTCTAATCTATTTGTTGTCATTCGGCTTATATGATCGTTCCATTCTACTCTTCGTACTTCTTGCATGTACTTCTAGCTCTGTCCCATAGTGTCTTACCATAAGTGTTTTTATCTTGTAGCATTTGCAATTTCATTGATTCTTTGATATATATTGGAATCCCCTCGTATATGTAATATATTGAAATCCCCTCATGTATGTTTGAAAAATCGAAGAATATCATTAGTCATGCTGTTATCCTGCGTTTAAATTCGTTTCTGCAGCTGTTTATCTTCTGGTAGAACTTTCGCAAGAGAGTTTTAGAACGTGTTCGTATGGCTCTTTCTTTTCTCTTCTAAACATCCTTTTTCTTCTCGTCTAAGATTTTCATAGTCTTCCAGGTTTGATCTCGTTCTGCGTGTATTTTAGCCTGGTTAGGTTTTAAAAAGCCTTTAGCCGCTTTCTATACTTAAATTTTCGTCGATTCTTGTTAGCTCTTCATTTAAAATTTTCCTGTAGTTAGTCAGAGTCTATATTAGCACCTCTACATGCTCTTACATCTAGTACGTCCGAGAAATGTCGACTATCAAGTAGAATCAGATCGTAAATCACGATATTGAATTTTGTCCATTTTCTAGGTAGTTCGATACACTCAAAGCATACTTTGTATGGAGCCCAAGGTTTGTCCTGATCACCAAACTTCATAAAATCTGTTATGTCCTATTGTTAAATCACCACAAACGTAACAAAATAGATCAGGACTGTTCTTACACTTTCTTGATGACATTATGGGGTGATAAACACTCATAAAACAAAATAAAACTCAATACTACAAATAATTGACCCCAACTAACTCTATTTACGCAATAATTAACATAACTTAATAATAACATAATATAAAATATTTTCTTTCGAAATACAAATATTTCAAAAAAAAATTTTAATGCAATTTACGAAATATCAATAAGGTACTTATTTGCGCTAGCATATAATATCTCACAAGGTTTTTTCAATTTTGTAAAAAATTTTAACGTGATTGGCTTAAACTGAATTTATATTCAGAATCAGCATACCTACCCGTATTAGCTAAGGACACATTTCAAACTCAAAACACCAAAAATCATGTCAACCTGTGTTTGGGAAAGTATGTGCGCATTCATTTCATATTTTTACAGTTAATATTTTTTCTGTTACGGTACTGTAATATGACCTAATTTGGGTGCTGTATTTCAAAGATCTTTTTAAAATATATTATTTCCTGTGAGTCCGTAAAACTAAAACTGGCTCTCATTTATCATGTTAAAGTACGCAGAATTGGGCTTTTTTCTTTGTATTCAATGTCAGAAATATTGAAACAAATGGTTGATTTATGGCATGCCCGGCCTACGAGCTGTTGACCACCCCACAGTTAGAGGCTGGTTTGTCCCTAGAAACGATCTCGAAATCACTTCTCGGGCGACGGCGACGCTAGCGTCGGTACCACCGACCAACTCTTCAGCCTGGTACGAACTCATCAGTAGAACCAAAGGGTAAGCCTTATAATTCTTTGTACAAAACATTGATAATGAGTAAACCAGTTAATTCCGTAATTTATTTACAATTTATAGTTGCTATTTTCACCAATTTTATGTACCAACCAATATTGCATTTTTCGTTATAATTATTTATCTGGTATAATTTAACCAGCGACCTCTCAAGTTTAATCCTAAACAACCTGTGATTGGTACGAGTACAGATAGACTTGTAAAACTAAATTTACACAGAATTCTGTGAAGAATACAATGATTGTATTTTCAAGCCATCTGATTCGATAAATTTTGTAAAACTTGATGGACCTATAAATCTATAAATAGTTTACAAATTTTTCTTGAAACCACTTTTGTTATAAAACATTTTATTCTGAACTTTTATATCTAGTTTAGAGATATACAGTCGAGAACCATTTTTAGTCAGTCACTCGGTACATTCCGGTTTTAATCCAACATCCCTCAAATCAAATCAAATCATAATCGAGATTTAAAATATAAATATTTAATCGTTTCAGGCGCCTTCCTGCTCACCCCCTCGCACGACCTAAGTCTAGACAAGGCTGCCAACATTTGCGACAAACTCAACTTCCGCGGAAGTTTCAGTTTGACTAAAACGGCCACGGGCATATTGTTTAAATTTTCAGAGCCCGAGGACTTCCAGCAAGTTTTCAGGAAGGGATTTCATAAGGTAAGATTTCGGGACTCTAAGCGAGAAAATTTTCAAATTCAATAAGTGAAAATGGAAGAGGGTATTGTCGGAGAAAGTTTTGCCGATATTCGATTTGTTCGGTTTGGAGCTTTTCGAAACAATAGATATAAAAGGGATATTGGGATGAGGGAGAAGTAGTTTAGAGAGAAAATTTATGAATATTTTAAGCACCTAGCAGGTATTATGTAAATTGTATTTCTGTTTTATCTTCTCCAATATTTATTATGCTCTTCTAATGTGCTAAACGTGAAATGTAACGTAAAATGAGTAAAAAAAAACTAAAATTAAACAACCTTCTGCTTCTACGCTTCTCTTTTGTTGTCGGTGATTATCACGGTCAATTTTATCAGTCACTGCCTTGATGACTTAGAATATTTTCATCAGTATTTGTTTATTCTTAAAAGTTTGTCAACCACAATTTCATTTTTGTTCCTTTTTCCCATCTCTCTATTAGCCTTCTATCAAAGTGAGATTGAGCATTGCTTCTGAAAAGCCTGTACCTTTTTGAACGTCGCCAATGAGACCAATTAAAAACAGGGCTTATGTAAGGGTTGTTGATCAACTGAAATTGAGAAAAAAAAAATTTTACTATCTACATTTTTTCAAGGGAAATGTAAGTGGTTATGTAATGAATACTTTACCAATCACATCAGACGAACCAATAAAAGCAATATCTTAACTTAAAGATTGCAAAGATTGCAAAGATGTATATGCTGAATTTATATATTTTAATGACATATATTTAAGCAAAAAAAGGAACACTGGCAGAGTTTCTCAAAAAAGGTTCCACGACTTCCGACTTCCACGAATATGGAGAATGATCAGCGGACAACGAAAAGAGATGAATGAACTAATAAAAACGAAACACATTCAGAAGGAAACATGGGTAGACTACTTTCGATCCCTATTTGCTAAAGGTGACAATAATGAACCAACAACACCAGAGGTGACGACAAACGAAGAAATAAATATTGAGGAGGAATAGGTAAAGGAAGCATTAAGGGAATTCAAAAATAGAAAATCACCAGGAGAGGACAGAATATCGAACGAACTCCTAAAGTACGGAGGATTACATCTGACCAAACATCTATTAAAACTAATACAAAAAATAATAAAACAAAACAAAATTCCTCAAGAATGGAGATAAAGCATTCTAATACCTCTCTTCAAAAAGGAGAACAAATCGGACCAGGAAAATTATAGAGGAATTAATTTATTAATCACAACACAAACATTAACAACCAAAGTGATAACAAATAAATTGAATGAAATTATAACAGTAGCAGAAGAACAACAAGGTTTTAGATCAACCAGCATATCTATGTTTCGTGGATCTTACAAAGGCATTTGACCGGGTCAAATTAAAAGACGTTTTGCACTTACTGTACGCAAGAGAGATACGTCTAGAAATATTCAAAACGATCAAAATAATCTACCAAAACAACACAATTAAAGTAGAAATAGAAGAAGAACTAACCGACCCTATTGAAGCTGGCAATGGGGTAAGACAGGGAGATTCATTGAGCCCTCTATTTTTCAACCTGATTATGGATGAAATAATAAAAAAAGTAAGAACTAAAAAAGGATACCAAATGGGAGAAAAACAACTTAAAATAATCTGCTATGCAGACGACGTAATACTACCCTCAAAGTGAAGATGATTTACAACGTATGCTTCTTCTTCTCGTGCCACTCCTAGGGGAGATTGGAAGTCATCATGGCCACTGCGACTTTGTTAGCAGCGCGCCTAAAAAGTTCAATCGAACTACACCCGAACCATTCACGTAGATTACGAAGCCACGACATTTTTCTTCTTCCCACACTTCTTTTGCCCTTAATTTTGCCCTGCATGATGTTTCTTAAAAGTTCGTACTTTTCACCTCTCACGGTGAATACTTGGGACACTTTTCATGTGCCCCAAGTATTCCATCTTTCTAGTTTTTATCTCATTTAGAATTTCGCATCTTTTGTCTAAGGTTTGGAGTACTTGCGTGTTAGTGACGCGGTCCATCCATGATATTCTGAGAATGCGCCTATAGCACCACATCTCGAAAGCTTCGATGTTTTTTATGGTCAACTGTTTTAGTGTCCAAGCCTCAACTCCATATAACAGGGTAGAAAACGAAAACTTTATATTGATATCACGATTGCAAAAGAGTTTGCGCATTCTATTAAAGACTGATCTAGCGATTTCTATTCTACATCTAATCTCTTTTGTTTGATCAGTACTGCCTGTGATCCAAGCACCTAGATATTTATAACAGGGCACACGCTCAATCGTTGTATTGTCTATTACAAGATTAGCTCTGATGTTTTTTGATTTCGTGATTACCATAAATTTAGTTTTTTTCAAATTAATTTTCAAGCCGTAACTGTTACAGTATATATTGAGACTTTGAACGAGATGTTGTAGTTCTACTAGCGTTCCCGTTAGGAGAACTGTATCGTCAGCATACCTTATATTGTTGATCGTCTCACCATTTATTATCAGACCAAGATCTTCTTCCTCGAGTGCTTGTTCACAGATAGCTTCACTATACAGATTAAATAAAAGTGGCGATAAGATACATTCCTGCCGGACTCCTCGACGGATTTAAATTTCTTCTGTTAGTCTGCCCTCAACCTTGACATTTGCTGTTTGATTCCAATATAGATTGCATATAATTCGAATATCTCGGCTGTATATATTTTGCTTTATTAGAACTTGTCTTAGTGGTTCATGTTGTACTTTGTCAAAGGCCTTTTCGAAATCAATAAAGCAGGCGTAAATTTCTTGGTTCATGTCTAAGCATCTCTGTGAGAGAACGTTCATTGCAAACAGAGCCTCCCTTGTACCCAGCCCTTTTCTGAATCCCATCTGAGTGTTACTGATGTCTACGTCTAATTTCCTATAGATCCTATTATGGATTATTTTTAAGAACAGTTTTAGACCATGACTCATCAAAGCTATCGTACGATATTCGTTGCATTCCTTTGTATTTGCCTTTTTGGCAGTAGTATAAAGGTCGAACGGAGCCATTCCCTGGGTATTATTCCAGTTCTATATATTGTGTTAAATAGATCTAGGAGTATTTTAATAGATTCATCGTCCATAAGTTTGAGCAGTTCTATGGAAATTTCAGGACCGGGGGCCTTACCACTTTTTGCTTGTTTGATTGCATATTCTATTTCTTCTCTGATTATATCAGGCCCTGTATCATCTGTATATTCGTTTGAGATTTCTTGTCTATCTTTGTCATCAAACAGTTGTGATATGTATTCTGTCCATCGGTCAATTTTTTGTTGTAAATCTGTTATAATTATACCATCTGTATCTTTGATCTGTCCTGTCTGTGTTGTTCTTCTCCTTCCTGTCATTTCTTTAATCTTTTTGTGTATATTAAAAAAGTCATATTTTCGCTCCAATTGTTCCAACTCCTGGCATTGCTCACTTAGCCATTTTCTCTAGCTTCTCTTATTTTCTTTTTTATCAGTTTATCTGTTTCTTTGTATCTTATTGGATTATTTGTTTTGTGTACCCTTCTTTCACGCATCAACTGTAGTATTCCGTCATTCATCCATTCTTTATGTTTCCTTTCTTTCGGTGTTAAATTTTCTCTCCCTGCCAACATTACGGCATGTTTAATATTCTCCCATTTTTGGTCTATGTTATCAGTATTTCTATTTAGTTTCTCTATATTTTGTAAATTTTCTTTGATGTTCACTATTGTTTTCTCTTTTATATGTTGTTCATTCAGTCTTCTCACGTCAATGTGTTTCTGTATGTGTTTTTTAATGATCTTTAGTTTTATTCTTAATGTGACTACTACAGGATTGTGATCCGAACCTATATCTGCTCCTGGGTAGGTTTTAGCTGAGAGTATAGAGTTGCGGAATCTATGACTAACAAGGACAAAGTCAATTTGGTTTCTGACTACTCTACCTTTGGTACCACTCGGAGATTTCCATGTGTACAGTCGTCGTATGCTGCACCAATTTAATATAACTGCCAGAAAATTTAACACGTTAATTTCCCCAAAAAGACAAAATGTATCGTTACAACAGCAAATTTACTAGTATGTAAATTGGAGCTGTAAGATCAGTTAATAGAACAAGTGATGGAGTTTAAATATCTAGGCATCACATTATCTAGCTACTGAAAGCTCGAAACCGAAGTGGAAGATCAAGATAATAGAGCAAACAGAGCCGCAGGCTGCCTAAATGAGACAATATGGAGAAATAAAAATATCGGGAAAGAAACGAAAGGCAGAATTTACAACACAGTCATCAGACCAATAATGACATACGCGGAAGAAACAAGACCTGATACAGACAGGACAAAAAGGATGTTAGAAATAGCAGAGATGAGAACACTTAGAAAAATTGATGGTAAGACACTATGGGACAGAGCTAGAAGTATAACGTAGATAGAAGGTGAAGAATATCAAGAACTGGGTAAGAAGTAAAAGAGTAGAATCGAACAATCATATAAGCCAAATGACAACAAATAGAGTAGTAAAGACGGCAAGAGACGGTTTCCCAATAGAAAGACGATCAGTAGAAAGACCACGAAACCGATGGAATAACAACTTACTGGAGGCACATTAAAAAACAGACAGAGTTATATCTATGTAAAAAAAAAAGAAGAAGAAGAAGATATTTAAGCGAAGTAATACTAAGAACCGAAATGTTGACCATCACAAGAAGAACAGTGTAAAAGATCCGTGTGGTTCAAAGCTGTTTCCGTTTCACTGCGAGACAAGATTCCAAAGCGAAAATCAGGATTGGATGTTACTGTAGAGAGAATATCGATACTGAAGTGGACCTTTGCTGGTCACGTTTGAAAATTGGGACCATTATCTTAAAATTAAATGTATGATAGAGAAAGCAAGATCTGCATTTAAAAAATAGCTAAGCTATTCAAATATCATGAATTATCAATACTCTAAAAATCGGGATATTCCAATGCTATATCTTTCCTATACTGCTTGAAATTAGGTCGTGGACTCTTACAGATGCTACTTGCAAGGAAATTGAGGCTTTCGAAATGTTGCTTTATCGTTGAATCCTGAAGAAATCTTATATAAAAGAATACAAAAAGAAAAAGACCTGTTAACCATAATCAAAACAGCTAAAATCGAATACCTCAGTCAAAACATATGGAAAAGATATGGATTTCCTGGCTGAAAAATCCACTTACCTATTTTAATACAATAACCACAAATATCTTCAGAGCAACAGTATACAAAATATATATGGCCATATGTAGAAGACTTAAGTCAGACTGTTATCGGTAATATTAAAGTAGGTATTTCATAAGGAACATTTAAAAACTAGTACTGTAAAGTTTACAGTACTAGTTTTTAAATGTTCCTTTCCTATTTACTAAACTGTTTTACAGTTTACTTTAGTAAATAGTACTTTCTTAAGTAATTAGTGACGAATTATTAAGAATATACTTAATATATCTGTTTAGGTAACTGGTGGACGATTATACAGAAAAGTGGCGATCCCTTGCAGACCTCAAAAAACTTTCTCGTTGTTGGTATATGAGGTACCATCCGATCTTCCAGAAGATGATATAAGGGCTAGTCTTTACAGATATTGCTCTGTGGTAAGTCTATTAACATAATTACTTTATAAAACTATTTTTTTCGCCTATATTTGATTTGTTATATTATAATATGCTTCCAGCATTCAGAGGTGGGTAGATAGACATATCAAACAAGAAAAAGGAATAACTTTACAATATCTGCATTTTGCAAATTGATGAATGCAAAAAAAAACTGGTATACGTAATTCAGCGTTGTCTATTTTTCAGTTATTGTTACAGATCAAAATTATATATTACTCGACCTTTCTTGTCTTATTTATAACTGTACATTTTCTTATAAATTATTTTGAGTCGTATGGTGATATTTGCAACCAATAATCTGAGAAGACATCTGCGCCTGGATATGTTTTTGTGAGGTGAGAGAATTCTTAAACCTTTTGTTTATGTTGATAAAATTAATTTGGTTTCTTATGATTTTCCCTGGGGTATCACTGGGTGCTTTCCATGTATAAAGTCTTCTTGGATGTAATTTAAAAAGTGTATTCGTTACAACCATATCCGTCTTTTGGCAGAATTATCAAGATTATACAACCATATCCTCTTTCGTTTCTTATGCCAAGACAATATGAGCCCACGACATTCTCGTCTGTACCTTGTCCTATTTTGGCATTGAAATCGCATAATTATAGTAAGTTCATGTTTTTTGGTCAGTTTTAGAAAGTCTTCTATAAGTCTCTTCTATTTTAGAGTCTGATAGAAATTTTCTATTTCTTCTTCAGTGGATTCTGATGTCGGTGCAAAGACCTGAATGAGGTTTATATTAAGGGACTTAAGGGTTAATTTTCAATAGCACAACTCTGTCTGATATATTCGTAAATCCTATAACTGCTTTAGTTATTTCCCGTTTTATTATTATCGCTACGCTATTTCTGTTTCTAAACAGTTAGAGCTAAACTAAGGATTAAGTATAGCAAACGTAGAATTAACTTTAATAACACGATACAAATAGATACAGAAAAGCTAAAAGTCGATAAAGAAAAATATGCTAGTAAATTAAAAACCGCCCAAGCACTGAATCTAGAACAACTCAGCGTTAATAAAATTAACTCAGTTATAACAAAAGAACTATTGAATGCTAGCTCAGAAGTAGCAACCCGCCATAACAACAAAAAATCCAAAATAAGTGAGGAAGAATATGCTGAAACAACGAAAAGAGCTCCTGTCACTTAACAAAAGAAATACCACAGAATACAAAGAACTTAATCAAGCCATACGAAAACAGATAAAAGACGATATTAAAAAACATCAACAAGAACATGTAGAAAGAGTGATAGAGAAAAATCGAAGTCTGAAATATACCAAACTGAAATTAGGAAAGAAAAATATTATAACTATGAAAAATCAACAAGGCCCACTAGAAACAAGCAAAGCTCAGATATCAAACATAGTTGAAAACTTCTATACTGAGTTATACAGCTCAAGAATCTGAAAAGACAAATAACAAACGTAAATTCTGAAATAATGCCCGAAATAAGCGAAGTAGAAATAGAAAATGCAATTAAAGAAATGAAAAGAAATAAAGCACCGGGTAGTGATGGAATTCTGGCAGAAATGTTGAAAGAAGGCGGAGAAGAAGTCATCAGGTACCTAAGAGTACTTTTTAATAAATGCCTATTTGAAGGAAACATACCAAAGGAATGGAATACTGCTAACATAATATTAATACACAAAAAAGGGGACAATACAGATCTGAAAAATTATCGTCTAATATCACTACTATCACAACTTTATAAAACATTCACAAAAATAATACAAAAAAAAACAAATAGATTGACAACAAAGTTCGATGTATATCAACCAGTAGAGCAAGCCGGATTTAGAAAAGGGTTCAGTATATGTGACCATCTTTACACACTAAAGGTCCTAATAGAAAAATTTAACGAATACAATTTACCAATCTGTTTAGCATTTATAGACTACGAGAAAGCTTTTGACAGCATAGAATTATGGGCTATTGAGGAAGTACTGGTCAATGGCAGAATAGATTCTAGATATAGGATATTAATACATAATATATATCAACACGCTGAAGTGGTAGTCACGATGGATAACGAAATGAAAACGAGGCCAATAAAAATCAACCGAGGAGTAAGACAGGGAGACACCATATCTCCAAAACTATTTACTGCCGCACTTGAAGACATCTTTAAATCACTAAATTGGGATACGAAGGGACTATCAATAAACGGGAAGTATTTAAACCATCTAAGATATGCAGATGACGTAGTACTAATAGCCGACAGCTGGAAAGAACTGAAGACGATGATCGATGAGCTTCATACGGAATCCATAAAAAAAGGACTAAAAATGAATCTGAGTAAAACTAAGCTAATGTCGAATAAAGATGATCAACCGACGATAACCATCCAAGGAACAAAAGTGGAACATGTAGAAAAATACATATATCTGGGTCAGAATATCAAGGTAAACAAAGAAAACCAAACTACCGAAATAAGCAGACGAGTAAGAATGGGATGGGCCACATTTGGAAAACTCTCATACATACTGAAAGACAAAAAGATACCCCAAAACCTTCGAACCAAAGTATTCGATTCTTGTATCCTTCCCGTTCTCACTTACGGAGCTTAAACCTGGACATTCACAAAAAAGAACATGGACAAGATTCGATAAACTCAGCGAGCCATGGAACGACAGATGCTTGGTATCTTACTAATAGATTGGCAAACGAACGAAGCAACCCGGAACAAAACAAAAATAAAGGACGCTGCGAAACAAGCAGCTAAATTAAAATGGAAATGGGCTGGACACAACGAACGTCTCGAAGATGGTAGATGGAACAAAAAAGTCGGAAACTGGCGACCGTACGATGCGAAGAGACCAAGAGGAAGACCTCAAATGCGCTAGAGCGACGATATCAAAAGAGTCGCAGGACCAATGTGGAAACGCCTAGCACACAACAGGGATAAATGGCGAGAAATGGGAGAGGCCTTTAGTCGACAATTCGGATAGAAAAAGGGTTATAAAAAAATTCTGTTTCTTGTTGTGTAATCTCCAGAATAATAGATATGGTGTTCATCTATAATTCTTATTCCAGAATTTGGCCATCGAACTTCACCGCATCCTAAAATATATCTATGTTCAGGTGAGGCATTTCTTGAATAGTATTTGCTGCTTTGCCTGCTTGGTACATGCTTCGAATGTTCCATGTACCGATCCTTTTAACTTTTGGGACATTATTGGCTGACCAACACTTGGGACATTATTGGCTGACCTGTAGATGTGAACACGATTAGCACAAAATCCTGTTCCTTTCTACAGTATGTCCATACTATCTTCAGAAAATCAACAATTGTATGATTGTTTTCTGGACTTTTTTTTCAAAAATGCATCGTAGTTTATAATAGAGTAGCTTCGTTAGCTATTTTTTCACTTTTCTCTTTTTTCTTTTACATCATATGTTAAAAAAGGTCTTAACGGATCCCCTGAAGAAAAGCCTATAGCCCTGTGTCTTTTTTTGTTGTTCGTCCAATAACTTCATTTTTTTGCATTTAGATTGGTATACAGAGTGGCCCAAAAGTCTGTCAACGGCCAATTATCTCGTAAATTGCTAGTTATAATTGTACAAAATTTGAGGTACACCTATTTTTAGATACGGAGATTCCATATTTGATATTTGCAATGTTGCCAGATTTGCAGTTTCTCTGATATTATTAGTAACTTTGGTTTTTCAAATACATCACCCTGTATATTCAGTCATTATTAGAATCTTCTATTCAATACGAGTTCAACTATATGTAACACTTATGATTTTTTATAGTCTGGAAGGTCTCAAATACATAAAACAGAAGTCTGCCAACCTAATTGTTTCAATAAATTTTTTGATACTAATTATTTTCAACTACATTAAAACGTAACAATTGATAGATTAGACCATTTTTTAACAATAGTTACGTTATTAAGTGTTCAAAATGTGCTCAATTTGTGAGTTGGCAGTACCCTAATCGATGGTAGAATGCGTCTACCACATTTCTCCATGATTGTCTAGAAATTATTTGAGATTAATGATAATTCGTTGCCTTTGCTCTGCAAGACTTGGCTGGTTAAGTTTTGTTAACTGAATTTTTCAAGTATCCCTAATAAAAATAATCTTTAGGATTGAAATCGGGTGAACGTGGAGGCCATTCAATTCTACCTTGTCTACCAATTTATCGTACAGAAAATATCTCATCTAAATATCGCCGAACATTTACACCAACTATCTGACGTTAAATTTCCTTCGATAAAAAATGACCCAATTGACTAAGTACCTACTATACCTGATCATACATTTAATTTTTGTGGTCTGGTATAGTTTTCACGCATTCAGTGTGAATTTCATACGAGTTTAACAATCATTATTCGAATTCGAATCTCCTATTCAATACGAGTTCAAAAATATGTAACACTTGTGCAAAATATGTAGATTTTAATAAATTTAAATATTTAAATGTAGAATGCTGTGATATTGACATTAATTGTTCACGATTTACATTATAAACTAAAACTGACAGTACCTAGTTGTGTTTCGAAAAGTTCTGCAATTTAAATTGCTTCTCTAAAATGCCGTTCTCTAAACCTTTCTCCTATTCATAAGGAGACGGTACAAAAAACTGTAAAGCGATTTGAGAAATCTGAAGAAGGTAAAGATAGATGGAAAGAGAAAAGTTTTGTTGAAGATCCACATACATCCTCAGGCAGGGTTGCACAAGTACATGATGTAGGTCGTTCTTCAGTCTTACGTATATTACGTAAAAATAAGTTTAAACCATACAAAATAAACTTATTGCAAGAATTAAGTGAAGATGACTTTGATCTTAGATTAGAGTTTACTGAGGTAATAATGGATAAAATTGAAAATTATTAAAATTTCGTTAACAAAATATGTTTTCCGATGAAGCAATCTTTACACTGTGTGGAAGTGTAAATCGACATAATTTAAGGTACTGGAGTGACGCAAATTCACACTGAATGCGTGAAAACCATACTCAAAGACCACAAAA